ACGGGAACGTAGCGAAAGCGGGAGCGAAACGAGAGAAACCATGGAGAAAACAAAATTGATATTTTATTTTTATTTTAAGCATTGAGCTGTCAGAAAAAAAATCTTTAATTAATTAAAGTTCAACTTTCCTTAGACCCAAAGTTTATCTAAAAGCGATCGCACTCAACGTCCAGAATATATGGTTAACTATCAGCCGCCCGCGACTTTGTCCACGTTTACTTTAATTTTTTGAAAATCCCTTAGGAATATAAAAATGTGCCGGAATAAAAAGCTCCCTTTGTCTCTTTCCAGGTATAATATATATATAGTAATACGTTTAGGCGTTTTTGCGTAATTGAATAACAAACATACAAACTTCCACATTTATATTATGAGTAGGATTTAGGTCAGTTGTTGAAAAGTTCGATTTTGTAAGAAACGCAACTTTCGCATTGGCCGGTCATAGAGTGGGTGATTACATATTAATCAAAATTAGAATCAAAATCAAAAATCATTTATTTATTCAGTCCAGGCTGATACAAGCACTTGTGAAAGTCGAGAAGCTACGCCATCGGTTCGAAAAACTACGACGGGAGACCTTGTACTGAGAAAAACCAACAAGAAACACAGCAAGGGATGCTTTTTTCTCCCTGTATTATTATATAAAGAGTCGTCAAGTTGAAAAATGACTTCAGAGATAATTCAAAAGTCACCATGACTGATCTTGAGATCCTCCATAATTCGGAAGTCACGTCAAGCTGTTGGTCTCGGCTGCATCTGCAGTCGTTCTCACCAATCATTCCGTACTATACCCAGTGTTTCCAGGTCCGTTCTCCCTATTACATCAAAATTGCAAGCCCATACCCCAGTAGTGGGGACATTAATGGGTTGATGACAAGGATATTGCAAAATTTGTAACATTATAACCTTCCCATAACGTTCCCTACCTCAAAATGCAATACTGAACCTATTTCGTATCACGTTGTGTGTCCATCTGTCTATCAGGATATACATCCATCTGTCTATCAGGATATTCATCCATGAAGGTTTAAAAGGTGAGACACATTCGAATAATTGCGAGGAAGATAGTAAAAATACAATTTCATTTGCCCTTAGATCAAATTATTGTAAGCAGTGCGAAATACGCTGGGTCAGCTAGTCTAAAATAAAAAAAAAAAACATTTTTATAAAAACCACGCCCCTGCTACTATTGAAGTAACAGCCTTACTATGTGTGAAAGAGATGGTTGTCGTTAGCACAAATGAATATGTTAAGAGAATATTTTCATTCTCTTGACCTATAACTTACCAAAATAGCTTCATTACTTACGGTAAAATAGCCAAAATGGACATACTAATGTATCTTAATTAAACCAAAGCGTAATATCTTCCTAAGTAAGGGCTCCTTGTGGTTGTACAGTTGTACATTTCATCGTGTTAAGGTATTTTGCTATGATTATGCGTAGTTTCATTTGCAGCATTAAAAGGAAAATGCCCACTTGGTTCTGATAATTTGGCTAAATTAGATAGGTACAGATATTTTGAAAATGAAAATTGAATAATAAGCTACAAAGAAGTCAAATTCTTTGAAAATATAAGACACCGCATATAATCTACCTCGTCTCAACAATTTTACTGTTGTTGTTGTTGTTGTTGTTTTACAAACCCGAGACTCAAGCTCTTATTTGCCAGAAAAATCAACTCTATTTTAATTATATTAATAGCTATAACATATGAATAGCAAGCGGTCGCCTGCGGATTCGTACGCGTTAATTCAGTTTTTTAGGAACGCCACAAGGACCTAACATTTGTCCGGTATAATAAGTCTCATAATATATCTCAATTGAGTGAGAAATTTCATTCAATAGTTTATGTATAGTATATAACATTTTTTTACTTTTTATACATTTTTATACAAATTCTCACATTTTTATAATATTAGTAGGTTAGGACTAGTAGGATACAGTGTCTTCTTTGCTAAAGAGTTATTATTTGAAATTGATGACCGTTCCTCTAGTAAATCTGTGATAGAAACCCATTTCTGCCCCAAAATAGGGAGAATCAGTCCGGTTCTTGGTCACAGTTAAAATATCGTGCAGTAATAAAATTCTGGATGGATGACTTATAATCCCGAGCTTCTTCGTGCTTTGGAAGGCACGTTAAGCCGTGGGTCAAGGCTTATCTCAGTACTTTTTTTTTTTTTTTTTTGTAATTTTGAATTTATTTATTTGACCCTAACTACCGTAAACTACCACCGGTTCCAAAATTGAGAGAGCTTTCTGAGAAGAACCGGCGAAACAAACTCAAGAGAGGCTTGGCCTCTCGAGAGAGACCGAAATAACCGAACGCTCAGTAAATGTCTTTCGAAGGTAGCTCGACAAATTTAAATAAAAAATTTATTCCGACGACGCAGCCTGTAAAGGCTGCGAAACGTCAATAAATAAATAAAGTTTCGTGCATTAACCCGTAAAAATCTAGTTTTATTTAATGAGTGATGTGCGTGAAAACCTAAGAAACAAATTATCTACAGGTCTTTAGCACCTACCGATCCCCACTGCGCCACGTGGCGTGTCACGTCCTAATCTCCCTATTTCATCCATAGGGAAGGTCTGTGCCCAGCAGTGGGAACATTAATAAGCAATGATGATGATCAAAATTTTAGAGGGCAGTTCCATGTTGTCCACTTCTTTTAAAATGATGATTATTGCTTCTTGCATTTGGGGTAGCATCATTTGATTATGATCGTATACTTCTTTAGCAATATAGTGTTCATTTAAAATGTCATGTTCTTTAGGAAAACATAATCCTCATGATTAACCCCTTCGATGGTTATCGTAAAATGCGTCATGTGTTTTTTTTTTTAAATTTCACGACTTTGATTCCCAGTTTTGGCATGGCATGGCATGTTTTGCCAATTAGCCAAGGAATAGGGAGTTCCCTATAGGTAGAAAATCCTAATCGACACAAATCGAAACAATTTGAAACTATTGGAAATTTAATAAAATCAATAAGATGGTATAGCTAAATTTAGTACACAAGATAATTCATCAATATTTTAATTCTAACTGAATCCCCTTTATTAGTAGTAAACGAGGAATAAGTTTTGACTAGTAAAGCCGTGTTTTGTTCATGTCTCTCAAATGCCATTTGTTATTCGATGAACAGAGACAAAATATGGAGTAACTAATCCAAGCTTATTCTTTGTTTATTAACAGTGTCGCCGCACACGGGCCACCGACCACAACCACAAAACGCCGCCACCGGCATGTTTCTTGTAGTTTTCATACATTTTATATGGACTCGCCACACACGGTATGCCGGTGGCCGCCACACGCTACAAATCGTCGTTGCTCGCTTCTTGTGGCCCGCACCGGCCACTTAATGCGCCTATACAAAACGCCGCCACACGTCACTCGCGCGATTCCCCACCCCTCTCTCCCTTACTCGGCCGCTGTCGCGCGCTTCAGCCACTTTATTAGTCGCTTCTAGCTTCTCGTGGTGGCGTTTGTGGCTGTGGCATGTGGCCCGTGTGCGGCGACACTAAATCTTTTACTTTACTTTTCAATTATCAATTATCTTCAATGCCAGCCGTTGGCACCGGGCAATAAATAAGCACCTTACTTACTGGTTCTATTAACACACTATGCACAAATCCTTTATAAATCACAGCTATATGTACCAATGGCATACCTCATCATTTATTCTGTAGTCACTGAAATCGAGTCGAGAGCGGGTTTCCACACCGATGTGGCGGATTCCTCGATTATCATAATAAAGTAGGGTCGCTTGTCTCATTCTGGTGGTAACACAAATGTGCTGGGGGGGGGACAGAGAGGGTGGATATCGATTCCACTTTTATTTTTATGCTCATTGAGATTAATAGGTTATTGAACTTTTATTTGAGGGAAGGGTTAAAACGTTTACGTGTGTTTATAGGATTTATCCTCGGGAGAACTTTTTCGGGAGCCTTTTTTTATACGAATCCGATATTTATCGGTTATGCCTATAATCCTTTTGGAGCTTTTAGTTTGGCAGCATAACTTGAGCGCTTATGTGAAACCTGAATATTTTTTTGTTGAAAGCATTCTTTGTGCGATTGAAAGCGAAAAAAGATCTGTTATTGTGGCAGTGAAGAATACTTTGGTGCACTTATCCGATGAATGACCAAAAAAATGACTCTTTAAAGCTGAGCTGATATAAGTATATCGTTTTTCTGGTGCGTTTTGTTGAACATATGTAAGGACGTGCATTGAGGTCCTCGGATCGGAATTCCTGGACACTGAATCAGGAAACTGTACAAATACTCCCAGCCATGTCTTGGAAGACACGGTAATGTTCATCATTCCGAATTATAGTTTGCTTTAATATATTTTTTTTTATTGAAACTTATTTTTCAACTTGGTGTAAATGGAAAAAACCTATGCAAAATATGAAATGGAAATGCTTCATGAGCGTCACACGACTATATATATATGTGTGTGTGTGTGTATGTGTGTGTGAGATGCGTGCGCAGCTCTTCCCGACGAGCATGAAAGTTGGAGGGTAATCGGCGATGGCTGAAACGCTACGAGCGTCACACGCTCCATTCCCCTATGCCTTATGCACCGCCTCATTATCAGCCTATTAATATCCCCACTGCTGGGGCACAGGCTTTCCCTATGGATGGAATAGGGAGATTGGGTCATGACCCACCACGCGAGCACAGTGCGGATTGGTGGGTGCTAACGACTGCAGATGCAGCCGGGACCAACGGCTTAACGTGCTTTCCGAAGCACGGAGGAGCTCGAGATAGTAATTTTTGGTCACCCATCCAATGACCGACCACTACGAAAGTTGCTTAAGTTCAACGATAGCAGCCAAACGCGCTAACCTCTTGCGCCATCGAGCTCCTCTAATTGCTCCTTATGCACCGCCTAATATTAGGTTATTTGTTTTGGTTTCTTTCGCCCCAAGCCAATGTCATACATTATAAACCAGCTTAAATGTAACAAAAGTAATTGTAATCTATCTGTTTGTCACCAGCGGGTCGGGTGCGACTTACGAGTGGGGTCGACGCGGCGAGTCGACGAGTGTGGAGTGTGCGGCGGTGATGGGTCATCGTGCTCCAGGCCGAGATACCACTGGTTGGCGACACCTGGTTCACTGTGCTCCGCTACTTGTGGTGGGGGTAAGTAGATCTTTGATGATATATACACAGTCAGGTCATAAGTATTGTCACACAGTAAAAATGTGAAATGGATTTCATCCGGCACGTATACTGGCCCTCCTCCAGTCCAGATTTGAGTCCGTTAGATTACAAGATATGGCAACACTTGTAGGAAAAGGCGTGCTCAAAGCCTCATCCCAATTTGGAGTCACTCAAGACATCCTTGATAAAGGCAGCGATAGACGAATGGCCGCGCAGTTTGAAGGCCTGTATTGAGAATCACGGAGGTCATTTTGAATAAACTCTAATGTCATAAGAATCTATGTTTTGTAAAGTTCATTTTGGTATATAAATGGTTACATAATGAATAAACTTGTTTCAATTATTTTATATTAAACATGTGACAGAATTTATGACGTTGAGGTATAGTTATATAGTAACGTGTTAAAACCGTCACATGAGTTTTGTTTGGTTGAAGAGAGAGATAGAAGGCCTCTGTATAGGTGGACTCCCTCGCCCTCCTTTATCATAGATCGTTATCGCCAGTCCATGCGTTTTTTAATATACTAGCGGTCGCCCGCGACTTTGTCCCCGTTAACTTTAGTTGTTTGTGAATCCCACAGGAACCAGGAAAAATACATTTTCGGGATAAAAAGTATCCTATGTCTTATTCCAGGTCATAAACTATATGCGTACTAAATTTCATCCAAATCTGTTCAGTAGTTGTGTAACAATCAAAGAAACTCACTTTCGTATTTATATCAGTAAGGATTCCTTGCCTTGTGTTGACATATTGTATGTACTCAAACCAAAAATCAGTTTAGCCTATTAAAAGCTCCTAAGAACGTCAAACCTTATGCCATTGGTTCGTGAATAAGTCGCGAGACCTTATACTGCGAAGAAGCAGCGAGAAACTCAGAAAGGGCTAAGTTTTTCTCCTTTTCCTACGTTTTAGCTACAAAAAAAATATTTTCTGCAGCTTCACCTATAAGGTCCAGTAGTGAATCATAGCCACCACTCAAATTCAGGCGAAAATTTCATCAAAACCTTTGCTTTTATGAAAAGTTCAATGATATATACCACATGCTCAAGTTTAAAATTTCTAAATTTAGATTGGAAGTATAATACAACTCTTCAAGTTAATAGACTAGTTGGACTTTTAATCGATGTGAAACGGTTGAGAGGTGATAGCCTCCAGCATTTCTGAAAACTCTCATTGCCACCTATCTTAGGACATTAATTTCTCTTTTCATTCATTTGTTTCTCGGTACTTCAGAAAAATCTTTTTCAGCGCTCTCACGTAAAATATAAGCAACAGCCGTTTCCGGATTGGAAAAATTTATAACGGCAATTCCTGAACCCAGCAAATTCTTCGTCAGCATATTTAAAATGAGATTAGTTTTTACAAACGCAACTCGGGTGCTGCGAACGTTTATTTTTCCCGAGCAGGCGTTTCGCGATTCCGTTTTCTAATTTCAGAAATTCATATGAACGGTTGAAAGTAATTAGAATACAAATGGAACCAGATTTTTGGTTGTGAAACGTAATTACTTTCGCTTCTGCTCAAGTTGCTGCCGTTTGGTTAATTTCGTTTGTTGAAATGAGGAATTTCATAGAATGCATGTTTTGTTAAGCGGCTCGCATATTGAATTTTTTATGAGCATCCTTAGGGTTCTATTCCTAATTTGATTTCTGACAAGACACAACAATTATTAATTTATTCCTTACTTAATCCGAGCTTGTTCTAATGATAATAGATCATCGTGTTTTTTATTCAAACAGAGTATTAGATAATAAACCAATTCGGTTGTTGGGCACAAATATTTGTGCTTATCACACTGCTTCCCCATTAGCTCAACCCTTAGGACCTCTATCATTGCACCGACAGTTCTGACCAAACATCCATTTTATTTGGAAGAATTTGTTGTGTCATTTCGTTTCGTCTTAGACTCAATCAAAGCAAAATGTGGTTATGTTAAGGAATGACTATGAAAGAGCTGCAACTTTGATAGTCTGTCAATCTCACATGGATATTATAATTTGTATTATTCACATTTTATTCATGTTTGATAGATTGAATTGGAGAGTGTGAAAAATTCTGAGTGTGAAAATTGTATATTAATATCTATAGTTTTTAAATTTATAATTTTTTTTTTTTTTTTAATTTTAATTTTGGTAAGATGCATGTTTAATAATCGACTTGAATTTTTTTATAATATATTTGATTGTTTTTAGGGTTCCGTACCTCAAAAGGAAAAAACGGAACCCTTATAGGATCACTTTGTTGTCCGTCTGTCCGTCCGTCCGTCTGTCAAGACCGTTTTTCTCAGGAACGCGTGGAGGTATCAAACTGAAATTCATACCTTATACTCAGGTCTACTGTCCCTTGGAGCTATGAAAAAATCAAACTTCTAAGCCAAAGCAATCAAAAGATACAGCCGTTTATGCCGCAAATTTTCGAAACTCGCACGGGAATCAAAACCTACAGGGTACTTCCCGTGAACTTAGAATCTTGAAATTTGGTACGAAGTAACGTCTTATAGTACAGATAAAGGAAAAATTGCGAAAACCGTAAATTTTTAGTGACATCATAAAATAAAAAATATTTTTGAATATTTTTGTACGGAACCCTCGGTACGCGAGTCCGACTCGCACTTGGCCGGTTTTTTTTAAATAATAATAATATTTAAGTAAAATTGCAACGCCCTTGCAGGGTGTCACATGTTTGTACAAGTTATGATAATGTTGTTTTTTGTACTATCTGTGGCATGCAATAAAGAATAAAGAATTCAATACATTCAACTAACTGTAGTCGATATTTTTTTATCGGAAGTGTAATAATGTCAGAATGATAATTTTGAAAGCCGTTGCAGGAACCTTATAAATTTTGTTTCTAATAATGTCATGAGTAGTTAGTTGCTCATGGTAACACCATAGAAATTTCCTTTGTCAAATCTGATTTTGTTGTGATCGGGCAGCGATGAGAATAATATTAAATTTCATTATGTTCCCTATAATCGTTCATTCATACTTGATATTTCTACCGACCACACACAATTCTATAATTCCTATATCTAATGCATTATCGTATTATATGTCTTTAACGGTACCTACTATATCAACAGCCTGGATTATATCAATATCCATTTGCAACAAACACAATGGCACACAATATAAATATAACACGATCAATTTTCCAACGTTTGATCAAACGTTTGCTCACATCACAATCAGCAAGAGACAAATTACACCATCTTCGGGAAGTGCTAATTCTTATCGGGTTATTCATCTTTCAAGGTTCTTAATTAGAACCGGCCTCACAAATTTTAGCCCATTGTGGCACAGACGAGCTTTTGGCCGACGACAAAACGACCGCAATTTATGGTTTATACTGTATAAGTTTGGACAAAAGTTTTCCTCGGGACCAACTATTTTGGCTTGGCCATATTATGCTAAGTTTTGCTTGATGTAGGAGCGGCATTTGGCTTATTTTAATTACGACGCTTAGTAATGCAGGTTTTTAAAAGAACCGTGATGACGTTTACACACTCGTTTATATTAGATGACAATAGCCGATTAGGAAAGTTGTGTCAAAATAAATCCTATAGGTATGTTGGACTACCCTCAATGGGGTACTAGTAATATTCTGTGCACTGTCATTATACGGGTATCTAATGAAAGGGTTTATTCAGAAGAATACGTATATCGTCTGCGTTCTATTATCTTCTTTGTGGCATTTAAATGTTTTTTTTTTAAACTGTTTTTGTATAAATTGTTTTAACTTTTAAAGTTGGCCTTAGTGCTCGCTCTTAGACTACCTCCGTGGTCGAGTGGTTTTTACGCCGGATTTCATGGTGTCGCCAAGTCGAGGGGCTCGAATCCCGGTGGGGGCAGATGTTTATGTGATGAATACGAGCATTTGTACTCCAGCCATGGATGTTTAATATGTATTTTCTATATGAATTTACTTATATATGTACAGTGTAAGTATTCTATCCATTACCCTAGTATCCGATAACACAAGCCTACAGTGCTTACTTTGGGGCTAGGCTAATTGGTGTGAGTATTGGAAATATTTATTTATTTATTTTAAAGAAAGATGGCCGCTCGTCTTAGGCGCCTGCTCGTCTGCGCTACCCCACAGAAACAGTTTCTGGCGAAGACAAAAGGAATTTCCCTTGATTTATTGGTAGGCTTCGAGTGGCGTCGGATTTGAGATACAAATTACGGGCCCGGTGCAATTAACTATGTTGTGTAATGTATTTGCCCTCCGCGAGAATGGCTGACGGCTGATTGTTGATCACTGTTGTTTAACCAAATTAAGTACGCCGGAGGATGATTTGGCAGTTCGCTTTTCAATGATACTTCGCAAATTGGTAATGTTTCGCTCTGCTGTGTCGGTTAGGGAATTGAGTTGCGCAACTTTGAAGAAACAAAAGCAACGTAGGGATATTTTAAGACTAAACTCAAAGTTTAAGTTAGCTCATATTAGGCCGGATTATTATCCCAGGCTCTGGAAGTAAACTATAGTACCTCCAATCTTCTCTTAATAACTATGTCCTTGGCTATGCTGACGCCTGCTATTAAGATCTTACGGAGGACAAGCTAAATAAACTTGAGCGTCTTCAAAACTTCTGCATCAGGTTCATATTTGGTTTAAGAAAATATGATCATGTTTCCCAGTTTCGTTCTCAACTCAAGTGGCTTCCAATTCGTCGTCGCCGGGATAATCATATACTTTCCCTTCTTTACAATGTTTTGTTTAATCCCTCTTAACCCCATTATCTTAAAGAGCTTTTCAGTTTTCTCCAGTGTTCCCACTCTCAGTCTTTACGCTCATCAGAGAATTTGAGCCTTAAAACTCCGTCACATAATACCATCTTATATAAATATTCTTTTTGTGTTCAAGCTGTGCGCCTCTGGAACTCTCTCCTCGTTAACATTAGACGTGCCCAGACGATTGGTTTATGTAAGAAGCAAATAACAGAATTTTTCTTTCACAGTAGCTGTTCGTGTTGTTC